TATGGCCACATGTTTATTGGTTCTCTCCCCATCAAACCTCTGTATTTTGGTATCTGTTCATAAAGTTATGAACAGAGCCAAAATAACAGTGATTCGTTAGCAAACTTCAAATCTTTCATTAGCCATATCTCAACCGATTTTAGACATATTTGGCCAATTTTGCGTATTTGAAAGTATTTCATGGTGATCTTTTACGCTATGTGGTTAAAATTTAAAAATTCTATAAAAAGGTTTTTGATGACGTCACATTTCAGAACTCTATTGGCACGCAATTTCCATTGCGATAGGGATTAAAAAGTATTTCTGTTTCTGTGTAAAATTTCAGGCATGTTTCTAGGAAGGAATGCTTGGTTTGCAGCGCGATCAAATATTTTCAATTTTCAACTATGGTTTAATAAAATTAGAAGGATAAACATGAAAATGATCCTTGTTTCTATAATTTTTTGAATAATCTGACTACCGCTTGAGCGATAATGGCGGTAGTCTGGGTCCGCCACTGCAAGCCCCCTTCAGTGTAGATGTTTTTGCAACACACTAACTTATACACAAATCAACTGACATGATTGATCAACATATTGGAAAAAAAATCATTATTCCATTTTAGAATTACTGTTACAAGGGGGTAATGCAAAGGCTTGTTCATGCTATCAGTACAGGCAGAAGGCAAACTTTGTCAACTCTCCTTATGTAAAGTGTCAACTCGACCTGAAATGCTGGCCTTAATGAAAAAATTAAACTTATATTAGCGAGATACCATTTGGTGATGGTTAATTATCAAACCCTTAAACGTTTTGTTGACAAAAATTGCATGTCAAAGAGTGTCAAGCCTTTTAATGTCAGTACCAAGAAAAATGTTATCAAATGATGGCTTGAAAAACCAAATAGCAAATATCAGCAACTCACAATTTCAAAAACAGTTCTCGTGTCATAACCAGTCCTTCTTGAGGACCCAAGTTTGTCTGAGAAGTCTGGAAAAGAGACACAACTTCGCAATTAGATGAAATAGCTCATAAGACATAAGTTGTGCATATTTGCCTTCCAACTGTTGGAAATGGTTATGAATTCTAATGCAAGGCAATAACAGGAAAGAGCCTCTATCAGCCTATAAATTTGTGATTAAGTTGAATACTTGTCACTATCATTGCAAGTTTCTCCTGCAAAAATAGATTGGAAAACGAAATTATGACAATACAAACGAAATTATGACCAACAAATTATGACAATAAATAAACATTGTGTAAGTATATGATCACCTGAAGCGCAAGTCAGTATTCATAAGAAACTTTTACACAGTATCTGGTGTATGCATTAGTGCTTATAGCTGGAGGGTAATAAGTTGCATTAAACAACTGGATAGGGAAAGTTTAAATGCATTTGAGTAGAGAGCACTGAAATTGAAATTGATGACAATTTGTACCAAAATTTATTCTGACATAGAATCCCTATACTATAATATAGCTAACTATGCCAGCAGGCAAACTTGAATTGCCAATATAAACACAAAATCAGCATTATAAAAAAGATGATGAAAAAAGTACCTAGTTCAGTTGAATCAACATAGCGATCCTTGAAAACATCAAAAGCAATCTTCTGGTCTATCTTATAATGATCAACTGCTTCACTGCCTAAATCATTCTGCAAAGAGGAAAAAGAGGTTGTTATCTTATTAAAAAATCATGTAAACTTTTAGATCTTTGAATGGTGCTTGAATTAAATAAAGTATCAAAGTATTAGATACTGATATGCTAAAGTTTTTAGAAACAAAAACATCAGTTTGAAGCTTGTTAGACTATTTACAGCTTGTTAGACTATTTACCTAGAGAATGACCTTTTCAATGTATAAAATTTTTTTCAGTGTTTCTGTTTGTGTACAGAACATGATGGTTCTAAGTTATAATTCAGAGTCTCATGCTTGATACAATTATCAGGCAGCTGGGGCCTATATGGCTGATAAGCTCATTAGAACCACCCTGTTCTGCTCCAAAGAATGTACAACCCTGCCTATATGACACAAAGCACTATATAGTCAATCAGTATACAGTAATTTTCATGAATTAAACCTTTAAAAAATTTCCAATTATATCTGATTATCCAGTTTCCAATATCTACTGGCATAGACTTTAAGCTGCCTTTTTTGTATTTTTAGAGACTCTTAAAGACAGTATCTATGGGTTTCAAGAGCCCTTCCCTTAAATTTTGAATGATCATTTTGAATCAGGCAATTAAAGCACCTTAAGGATATGTATTTTCAAAATGAGGCCTATCAAATTCAAATTACCCCACTGGTATTCTTTCCTTCACCAATGGTCTCATCAGTTTCAAATGTATCCTTCCCATTGCTGTCCTGTAAAAAGGAATGCACAGATCTAAATTTTTACACAAAGGAAGGTGTGAATTTTTTGACTAGAACCTCCCCCCCTCTAAAACAAGTAGCTGTAAATTATGTAAATAAAATATGTGTGCAAAGAGTAACCTAGGACTTGGTACACATGTTAATTTAACTTTATTAAAAATCTGTATATCTCAGCTTTTTAAAGTAGGCCTTGTGAGGAGCAAAAACGCAGGTGCTTGAAAAACTGAGCACCACCAAACTTCTAGGCGCTTCATTGAGCACCTACAAAAAATATGGCTTAATTAAGTAGCTTTCTTGTTAATAATGGTTTGAAAATAGTGGTTTATTTGCTCAAAATGTAGAAATTAACTTCTTTCTAAAGTTGTGATTTGTGCTAATTCATTTTTCATGATTATGTAAGAAGAATTAATTTTAAGTAAATTATGTCTAAGATGAAAGGATGAACAGGGTGAAATGTTCGTGTGAACAGGATAAATGGGCAGCACACATACAGCCTGTATATTTGCCTATATGAAGTTTTTCCATTTAAAGTATATGTTTGCAGTTCAGTTAAATAATTTCAAAACAAAAATATTATTATATCAAACAAAACAAAATTTTAGACAATTAACAAAATTTGGTTTTAAGCATTTGGTTTTAGACAGCAAAAACATGCCAGGTACTCCATTAATCAAGCTCCTTGAAATTTCAAGGCATTGCGGAGGTGCTTTATAGAGCTGGAGCATCTCTCCTTGTAAGATCTGATTCAAAGGGTTGATCCGGGTCAATCTACTAGATTTGAGTTAAATGTCCAGAGTCATTTTAAAAGGAGGGGGTATAACCAAATATGTAAGTCATGATTTTTGTGCTCCAACACTACTGGTGGACCTGACCTTGATTGCATGAGGTTTTGAAAAGAGGTTTCTTCAACAGAATGCTCTAGAATTTCTTCTGAAATGGGACCATATTTGTCTGATTTTTTTATGATAAAACATGACAGAATAGTTTTTTTTGCCATCGGCTTCTGCCTATACATTTACATTTTTCACTGCATAGAAAGCACAAATGAAGTACAATAGTACTTTTGGCTATTGATCATATATAAGAAAATATTCAGTAAAAGAGACACCTTTTTGTCACCTTGATGTGATCACAAAATTTCCAGGCCATGTGTGCAATTTATATTTCATCATTCACATAAGCATGAAATTATTTCTTTCAATCTCATTTTAGAAGTAGATTTATAAGGTTGAGAATTGGCCCTTGATTTCTAGAAAATTATAATATTTCCAATCCCAGTATCCAGGGCATGGTGATGGCAAACCCAAGATGCAAACATGGTATCATTGAATGTGCACCTAACAACTTCCTTGGCACATTTGAGATCTTGTGAAAAACGGTCACACTCTGCAAACTGGTCCCTGTGATGCTTGGTGTACAAATAAATTCATTGATCAGTTTATAATTTTGGCATGTTTTTCCACATACTGGATTCTTCTCATTCAAACAATCCTTTGGTGGTACAAAACTTGAAAATGGCTTTGAAAAAAGCAAAAATTTAGTAAACTAAAGCTTTTTGTCTGACACTCTTTAGAGTTTAAAACATCAGAACATAGATCAAAAACGCTACGCTAGGAAATATATCTACCCAGTTGTGGATCAAAATAAGCCAATCAGAAACATAAGCACATGACTGTTGAGGTAGACCAATCAGTGTCGCTTGCCTATTGAGAATGTTACCAATGGAGTCCTAAGGTGAAAATGAACTACTTTTGTCTACACAGTAGCGGTTTTTTTGTGCTTATGTAGATAGATTCCAAAACTGCTAGGTGGAATGACAATCCGGCTTTACCAATAATCCAAAACATGTCGCCATTATAGTTTTTTGCACAATCTGGGTTTTCCAGTAAATGCTGCCCGATAGCAGAATCACATGTTTTAGTTGTAATTTTAGATTTGCAAGACCGAGGTGGCTGTTCTCTTTGGAGACAAGTTTTGTTTCTAATACTAGGCGGAACATGTTGTTTTATTCTATCTTTGGGTAGTGCGTCCTACGTAGCCAGATTCACACTGGCACGTAAATTCATAAACAACAGAACTTTTTTGTGTGGTAGGAACGCAGTCCTTTTGAATGGACGGAAGGGCCTTAGGGTTTTTGATCTATGTTCTGACGTTTTAAACTCTGAAGAGTGTCAAACGAAAAGCTTTAGTCTACTAAATGTTTGCTTTTTTCAAAGCCATTTTCAAGTTTTTCTTATTAAAATAGTTCAATGCTTGTGAATTGACTCAAAACTCTTTCAAACTGCTGTCAATTCAGCTAATTTCGAATCTTATACTGGATGCTGTAATTTTTGAAATAAGTATCTTCCATATGTTTGATTGAATTTCTCTACTGTTGCTGGCAAAACTTTTAAGCATTACACCAGGCTTAGTGGTGCATACAATTTTAAACAACACAAAGCATGCCGGTAGGATGCAGTAACTCATAAATTACGATTGCTCTGCTGACGAACATGACACGATGTGTGAGAATGTAGATTAAATATGAAACAAGAATCTACGTCAGACAGATTACCTACGACTTTTATTTAACCACAAAATGGTAAACTTTGTGTCGTACATAAATTTACTCACAATATAAGGCAGGTTGGCATATTTCTCACCCATTTCGAATTTGTGATTGATTTTGTTTTCTAGCTTTATTCGCTGCTTATGCTGCTTCGCCCAATAGCCTCGCTCTCGTCGGACAATCTCTACTTCGTGATTGGAAATGAAATCAAAAATCAAAGTACAATCAGTGAGTACAATACATGATCATTTGTAATGGGGCGACAAAAAACAGAACAGGGGGCCGTCAATCCCCCTGATCACATTAGCATCACTAGTTGCAGCATAGAAAGCATCAACAGTTATGAATGGTCCATAAGAGTTGGGAGCAATTGAATAACGATGGTCTCAAACCCATGCATGCTAACAACCAGGGGTGGGCCCTTAAAAGTGAGAAGGGGGCTATGCTCCGGAAACTTTGTTTCTTGCGCGGGCAAGTTTTCACGCGCCTTACTGTGCGACTGCACGCCTGAAATCAAGCACTTTTAAGAGATTTGTATTGTTATTAATGTGAAATGTATTCAAATAGGGACTCTGCGCGGCCAAAATGCAAAAGTGCGCGGGTGGAAAATTTGAGTGCGCGGGCAGTATATCGTAGGCGCGCGACAAAGTTTCCAGTATTAAGTGTGTGAACATGGGTGTAAACTTGGGTGTGGCTTCTAGAAGTTTCCTATATCATAGCCTATTTATTATGTATTTGTGCATCTGAGGCGCTTGGTGACGTATTTGTATTTCAATGTATGAAATCTGTGGTCGGTAAATCTGCAAACTTTCCCCACCTGAGAGTCCCTATCCACGACCCTTCTGAAACAAACTGATGATCTCAATCAGACGATTGATATGGTTTCAAAAAATACTAGTCTGATGGTACTAACTAGCTCGAGGCCGTAATGATAAAATCGTGCAGTTCCTTAATAGTCCTTATTAGTTTCTTAATTAAACTGCACATTTGGTGCCAAATTGCACATAATTCATAGAAATTCTGTATAAGTTTCGCTAGATTCTTAACTGTAGCTAGAAACATAAAAGACGTTTGATATATGAAAAAGTGGAAATTCACTCAAAATGAAAATGAAACACTCGATAGCTACCTTCGCAACACAACTGATGTTGTTTTTAACTCTTAATGAATGGAACTGGCTTCCTAATTCTTGATCGTTTGCAATGATAAAAGTATTCAAAGTTGAAAAGTTCTTTAAGGATTTAAACGATTCTTTAATTATTTTTCCGTCTTCTTCGTGTTTTAGGTTCCTTATGAAGTTGTTCCTTATAGTGTGTTCCAGGATGTATATTGGATTTAAGTGGATTTCACTGGATTTGGATTTGACGAAAATCACACCTGGACAATGATCCTGCAACTGATTTGATTTCTTCTCATCACAACATGCCTACTATTTGTTGTTTGACAAGTGACTGCTGTAACCACGTGTCAGTCATTCACTTTACGCGCTCAAAGACCCTTCTGTATACGCGCTCAAAAGTGAAAATTTTCTACTGGCCTAAACAGAAAACAACCAGGAAGTTGTGGAGGTTTAAGATTCCGCTTCGAAAGGAATAGGTAATTATTTTATTGTCAATGATATTGATTTAAATTCATCATGTTTCGAATTTACTCTGTAACTTGTTTATCTTTTTTATGCAAGAATCGTTTGACACAACAAAAATCGTTGATATACTGGTGTGATATCAGATTGAACGACTAAACATAAGCAAGCCTTGTTTTTTGGAACCAGTCTCTCTGAGTTTATTACGTTGTTTCTCGCTGTCTCCTTCATTTACTCAGCATTTAGAAGTAAAACATCTACTACGTCTACTTTAACCGGAAGTCATTTTCATCGCTACCTCCGGTGTAAATTAGGTTCGTGGAAGATAGTGACGCTTTTTGGTTTTGTTTCGATTTCACATTGACAGTGCATTCAAGAAGTTGGACTAGGAATAATGAAAAAAATGTATTTTAGGGGCTTTCGCGGCCGACTTTCACATACAAAAATCATGACCTGGAGCGGCATGAATTTTTGGCAATGGTGTTGTTTATACGTATTAACATTGTAATTATCATCAGCAGGTTTGGGTGTCAAAACAATTATGGTGCATCGTTTTCTAGGTTCTCAGCCAATTCAGTAGCTACCATGTTGTTAACTTATGTTACTCAAATTTTTTCTGTGAAGCTCTTATCTTAATTCAGGAAAGAAAAGATGGGTGTAACTTAAATGATTCGGTTTCTCCTTCTTCGACCATGGTAACAACCCATGAGGAAAAAGAAGTTGCATCGGTATGTCTGGGTTTTAGAAGGCCCTAATCTGGGATAGGAAGCTCTTTTGTGCATGACATAATGGTTCATCGGATGTGCTTTGTGGTTGACTACAAAAAACTGATTGCGATTGACCACGCGGGAAATTGGCTTTAATCTTCCTATACGATCAGTTTTTACCAGTTTTTTGACTGACAGTTTTCAGTCTCTCAAAGCAGATGTCCTCCACACATGATCGGTTTTCTTCACCTTTTGACTGACAGCTCACTCTGTTTTGATATGGAGCTTGATCGTGAACGAACTGCAGTTCTTTTTGCTACAGTTTTGCACTTCAAGAAAAGGCGAAAAAACCGAAAAATGAAAAAAGAGATCGTTTTCAAACTATTCGCATTTCAAAACTACTTTTGAGTATGACGCCACATTGCATAACGATTTTTCGTACTTCCACGCATATATAAATTAATGTTTAACTTCCGTGCACAAAGTTGTTATTTGTACTTATTATTATTTCGATGTACAACTGAATTGATTGTATGACCTCGTTTTCCCTGATATGACGTCAAATTTTTATGCCCTGAAAGAATACTGAAGAAAGGTGTGTAGGGAAAATCATAACAAAACATCGGCATTGTGGCTGAGAAAAGGTTTGGGAAAATTAGCCCCTGTCGAAATTTGCAAGCAAAAGTTTCCGAATTGCATCCAGGTAAAAGTAGCTTACAGCCACTCGACCATCAGCGGTTGTCCAATCAAATTGCGCACAGGGAAAACATGTGACCAGTTTCCGTCTTTCTGCAAATCGGTGAAATCCTAAAGCAGCGCACAGTGGTTTCACGTGAGCAGTTTCCAATTCCTTTCATACACGCGTGCTCTGATCAAAGGCCTGTCAAAGGCCTTTCATAACACGATTTGTCAGTTACTCTGTGGTCTTGCCCCTTGCCCCTTGCTCCTTGCCCCTTGCCCTGGAATTCGATTGTCAAGATGCCTATGTAATAACTCTAAAACACAAGAAACTAATCGAGAAGTGGACTTTTCTCGAAGCAGTTTACGGAAAATAAATACTTTTTTCAGTCCCAACTCAACATAGTTTTAAAGGAGCCCTTTTGCTCACCTTATTCCCCTCGTCAAACAACAATGGTGATATTGTCAAAATTAAAATAATGTATTATGCTAGCAAATTTAAATATTTATTTATATAAGAATGGTTAACACGTCATCTTGGTGGCATAGTGTACAAAGTTGTGAAAATTAGTGTATAAAGTTGTTAATTAATATTTTGGAGAAATTTCAAGTCTGGTAGTTTTTGTAATTGCTCAAAACATTTCCATAAACGGAAAAGTAGTTCATGGGATATTTCTAAGCTGATATGTAATGTAAGCGATCTTTTTTAAAAAATCCTCCCTGGAAATCTGAATAACCTTTTGTTGCTTTGGTAGGATGGATATTATCATATGCATATCTTATTGAATCCCTATGCAGCAAAGCTAAAGGAATCAATGCAAAAAGAGAAAAAAAATTAGACTGATTAAACGATTGCCATCCGGTACGCATCCAGGAAAATATCTGACTTATGCTTAAAAAGGAAACTGGGGTCCGGGGGCACCCTGGAAACGTTTTAGAGTGACGCTCTCTAGTATACCGCAGAACGGGTCTAGACTGATTTCTCTTCTAGTTAGCCAGTCTATGATAGATATTGTGTTTAGGTCGTTTTTATCATTTTAGAGAATTTTTCTCAAGTACAGTCTTTCAACTTTTTGCAAAAGAACGATGGCTCAAGACTGCTTATCTTTAAAGGAGAAAGATCGAAATTCTTGAAACATGAAAAAGAGCAAAATTAGAGTCCAAATGAACTGGAGATTTTTAATTTCTGGTACTTGCCTAATCACAACTACCCTTTGGTATGCCTCTTTTCTTGCCGTCTCTTTCCTCGAGCAGAGCGAATTGTGTTGGCAGTTCATCGCCGTCAAGAGTTCGAGGTGAAGCAGGATGTGCTGCCATTCAGGGGCGGCCTGGCCTTTTTTCGTCCGGAAAGGGGGGTGATAGTAGCAAAGTAGCGTCCTTCATAATTGAAGTTGTTGTCTTTTTTCAGACAAAACTTTCATTTATCAGAACTACCTTAAATGAAAACATGTGTATTCATTTAATTAGTTAATTTCATCTTGATTAACTGGCTCCGACAAAGATCTGACACATACTGAGCTGGCCAAAAACTGTTATAACAGTTTGAGCTGTTATTATTAAGGATGTCGAAGCAAAGAGCTTTATACCCCTGCACTCTGTTCAAGAAGCACCTTAGATCCTATCTAATGCTGGCTAAGTTTTCAGACCCTATTTAGTACAATTATGATAGCTATTTTCAATAGCTACTGCATTTTCAGGCTATTAATTTTTATATTTTCTGATGGGAAATCTCATGACAACGTTGCTGCATCCTTTTATTTAATAGCAAATAATATTGTCTGTCATAAACGAAAAAAATCAAGTAACTTTTTGTTAGTTGGCCTTCGATGAACCGATCAGCTATCAAAAACCTTCATCCTTCCTGCCCATGTGTCTATAGCCTTGCAGAAATTATTGGCTCACCTATTTATAGTTTTGCATTTCAACCATGAAGTCATTCATTGTCAACGTTGATATCTTTAGCTAACGTACATCAAACGTCCTTTTTGTTTGATTTTATAGGATGTGTCGTTTTAAAGTACAGCTTTATGTGCAAACTATATGAGTAGACGATTTTTCTACTGAATAAATCATGCTACATTGGAAGTACAAGGTCGTTTTATGCTCAAAACTGATTTTTTCTAATCATATCTTCCGATTAATTGAAGTTCTGATATTTTCATATCTCTGTTGTCGGTGAAATTAAGTGGCTGTTTTGTGCATGTATTCACTAGATTGACGTCAATGTAATGTACACCATGGTCACCTTATCCTACTTCAACATTGTCCCATTCATTCTTTTATAGTCAACAGAACCCTTGCTCTCAAACTAACATTAACGAAGGTTGTGTTATGTGTGTCGAATAGAAGATACTTCAAGAGTACCTTGTGGGGCTGTATCAAGTATTTTTTTGCTGTATTCCAAACGGGTCGCAATCCTAACCCTTAAAATATATTGATGTGCCATTTTGGTCATGTTCCCATGTCAATATACTTTCAGTTCCCGAGCTATATTGCGTATTGCTGTCCACATGCAAAGTCTGTACATCCTAAACAATAAACATCACTCTGATACAATTGTCTACCAGGGAAAAAGCAAGGCGTATTTTTACAACGAATCAGACCTAAGAGACAAACACTAAAATCATCACTGGAAATGAAGAAGGACTAGTATGTATTGCTTTTGACTGTTTTTTGTATAAGGTATGCTTTATTGGTATCAATCGTCTGTCAAAAGTCTTTGGACCAACTTGTGGCAAAGGGTACCATAGTGTACCAAGAAAATTGGCAGCTGTTCATATTAGGGATAACCCAATTACGTATTACGTAGATGTTTGCTCGCACGATATATCAAAAGAGGTAGTTTTGGCATCTGGATAAATTTCAAACCGAAAATCATTGAGTACCGACATGTAAATATAATAGCAATGACGCGAAGGACTCGCTTGAAAAGAAGCCTGAAACAACAGCCTCGCATGCATGATATAAATTGATGGCATTGCATTTGATTTGCTACTATCAAATTCTTTAACCTCTAATTCAATAACTTTATAATTCTTTAAAAATCGTCCAGATTTGTTTTAGTTTGATACGTTTTCAGCTGACAACTTAAAGTTTGGCATCATCTGCTCAAAATGTTTCCGACAATACTTATTTAAAGCTTGATTCTATAAGCTGTTTTTGTAAGCAATGCATCATTACTTTTTTAAAAGTAAGAATATTGCAGAGAACTGTATTGGTTTTGAATTAGCAAACTAATCACGCATCTTAGTTGTATTGATATTTGCTAAACATGTTAGAGCAACTATAGCGGATTAGAGTTCTGTGACTTCCATTTAGATTATCAATTTCCGTGTTATTTATGACATTGTTTACTGAAAAAAAGCGACAGAAGCAGAAAATGCAGTTTATTTTTACGCTTAATTCATATCCCTTTGATTTTCGTGAGAGAGACTTCAGTCTTAGTTCAGCGATGCCGAGAAAAGCATACACACAATGAACTGTTGACTCCTTTGCAAAAGGAAACCCTTTAATCTCATCCATACATTTTTTAATTATCTTATATATTTAAGATGTTATGTGAAGCGGTTTCTATATATAGAGAAAAACGGACCGCCCCTTTAAGGAGACTTTGGCCTTTTAAAACAGGGGGTAAGGGCATGAAGAAAAATCAAGATATGGGCATTTTTAGAGAACTCATCTGATATGTTGTTTTTCCTGACAACTTTTCTTCAATGATTGACGAAATCCTGAAATTGGAATTATTTTTTTATCAAAACAAATTCCCTGCTACCTGAACAGAGACTATCCGATCAGTATTCTATGCCAAACTTGAATGAACTCCTTATAAAAAAGAAGGTTATCTTGATGTTCTATTCTAATATCCTTGAATATAACTTGCAAAATATCACCCAACACTAAATATTCTATAGTCCCTTCTATTTCTTTATCAAACATTTAGAAAATTTTTGAGTGAGGTTTAAGAGAATTGAGAACATTTTTTGAATTGTTGAAAGGTTCCAGAAAAGACAATTCAATTTTTCTTGCTGTGCTTGTGTCAAACAGGGGCAGTTCCAATATGTTATTTTCCTTGTTTATATGATTTTGATGCCGGTTCTCTTACTTCTTGTTTCGCCAGTTCAGAGTACCTCGTTACTGCTATGCAGTGTAAGACGTTCTAGCGAAATCTTCACATTAGCTTAGAGCATTAGAAGTTTTCATCTCAACATTGAAGGTTGTTGCTTTTCTATTGTCTGTCTAAAGATATAATTTCAGAGCTCTGCGCGAATTTGTTTGAGATTTCAAGATTACGTTCAGTCAGTGTTAGAAATGCACGTTGCCTGCCTCTGAAGTCCAGAAGGCATCAGCTCTACGGCACTGACGCTGCTACGCAGTCTAGTCAAGTTCCAAATGGAACCAGACAGTCACGTTAAAACGTTAGTCCCATCCATACCCATTTCAAACGGTTTCAAATAGAACCGGTCCAGCTTTTCCTAGATAACATTGACTCGTCAAATCAGAAACGCCACTTCCGCCTCTTCTTAATGCAAAGAGAACGGTTTTCTATCAAAAACAAAATTGAGCAAAGACATAGCACCTTTCCTAATAGGAACATATATTCCTTCCTCTAGTGAATCTTGCCCACTGAAGGGTCTGAGCAATGTCTTGAATATTGATCATTACCCTCCTGGGTTCTTCCTACTGGAGAATCTTCCTTTGAGCAGTTAACTCTCTTCAATAAACTTTTTAAAAAACGGCCTTTTTTGTTTGTCCTTAAAAAATAAAGATTGCTTGTATGAAAAACAAGCAATCTTTATTACAAACTACCTGTATGAAACTTTCTGCATGAAAAACAAACTACCAGTTGCTTGTATGCTCAATATCTTTAATACCTTAAACAGATTCTATTTCAATTGCAAACTCTGTAAATAAGTTCTGATTACAGATTTAAAACAGTTTATAGTACCAGGAAGTCCTTTGTTGCATCTCCATTTAACAGTTGCTTTGGTGTTTATCTATTTGCTGCATCGTGAAATTTCACCTTTGTTTCTAGGGCTGCATACCTGTTGCGAAAAACAAAGAGCATTGATTTCTGATTACTGTTCCAGAAGAGTAAACTCTGAAAGTATCCTTGTTTAATGACAGACGAATTCATAAAATTCACGCGAGTTGGCGCTAGGGATTGTAACAGGGCTGTTTAAGATATCAACAAAGGGTCTCCAACTTTGGTGCTTAAACCTGTGAATATCTTAATTAGAATCATTGATTCAGCTGACAACAGACTTCTTAAGCAGGGATGGTAAACATTTGCTCATAGGCAAGATCGAATTCACGTGGAGACAACCAAGACTTATTGAGTATGAAAGCTAACATTTTCTCAGCTCTTTGTAAGCGCTTCAATTGTGCTTGTTAGTCCAAAGCGAAAAGGATAAAGTTTTGACACCGATTGTAGACCTTCTAATCAATTACAGGAGCACACTAGAGGTCCTCTTTGGAATGCCAAGTGATAAATTAGTTTAAAGAACAACTTTTTAAACATTGATATCCATATTGGACAAGAAATCAGACGATTTGAGAAAAGGAGTTTTGCGAGAAAGTTCTTTGTCGAAAAGCCAGGAGTCAGTGGAGTGTGTTAAAAAGAATTTTCAACAGTTAGTTTTGCCAACAGGGAAGAAGTTTTTCCTTCTTTATATGTTTGCATGTTTACACGACATAAACACAAGTTGGTTTTATTGAACTCTAAATTTCGATCGTAGATAGGTCAAGTAAGAGCATCTCATCGTAAAGAGAAGAGAACACGAAACTAAGATGACAGATGCAAGTAAATGTGGAAATTTCAATGAAATACCCGGAATATCGTTCTTCACAGCCGCTGCAACGGCCGTCCTTACAGTTGCAACAACAATTGCACACTGCCTTATCCTCTACGCTATAATTAAAGACCGCGGAAAGAAGTTCAAGATATTTTTCTACAAACTCCTATTGAACATCTCGATCGCAGACGTTCTTTCTGGAATTTTTAACGACCCTTATGCCGTTATTTTCCACGCGCAAGAGGGTCTGAAAAAAACGCCTATTGACATACGGGTCTTTCACGTCTCACTGTTCCTGTTGGGTAGTATTCCACTTTTTACAATGGTTATGTTAGCTGTTGATCGCATTTTAGCACTTATGAACCCGACAGTCTACAGGCATGGCTTCCAAGGCTTGAAGTCCTGGTTGATTTTAGCTGCTATTTGGTTCATCTCAATTTTACAGATTCTGGCATATTTCCAAATGGGCTTCATCCCTTATCTTGTGCTGTTCGCAGGCATCAATATTGCTGTTGCTGTCATTGCCATGTTGGTAACTTTTGGGTTTTATCATAAAAACCTCGGTCGCAGCACAAAGACATCCAGTCAAAGCATGAACAGCGGAGAAAAACCCTCACGCCGTCGCCAAGAACGAGAAAAAAAAGCCACGCGCACATTTCTCTTCATGTCTTTGGTGATTGTGTTCAGTTATATGCCAACATGTTTTGCTACAGGCTACATGAATTCGTGCACAAGCTGTGATTGTGCCATTGTTCACAGCCTGAGGGACATTGCTATTGTCTCAATTCTTGCAGGTCCCTTGTTCAGGGCGATCAACTTCATGGTTTGCTTGAAGTCATTACGTACTGGCTTATGCATTATCAGGATTGAACGAAGACCAGCAGAGTCATCCCAGGTATCGTCTGACCAGCCAAAGCTAAGGAATTCAGAGGCAGGAAAATTGTCAAACAAAGAAGATGTGTCGGATAAAGAGGCGAAGAACAGGGAAACAAGCATTTAGACTTTGGACAGGGTGATAAGGAGAAAGAATTATAAGTCAATCTTTGTGTTTAAAATTAGCCATAAAATTTGAACTTCATCATCTAAAGGGGTGTGAAACAAAAAGATATAGTTCAGTATAAGCTGGCTTTGAAAAATGAAAATCAATTCAAATTTTGTAGAATTCTACGACCCTATGAACCTGAAAGTTATTTTAAACTTACAAACATTTGTCTCGTACGTGAGTTAACACCATTGGTAGTTTTTTTTAGCCTTACAGACCACGATCAAACGATTCGCTTTTAAAATGGCTTCGATTTGCTCTCTTAAAACATATTGTTTCCTAAAGCGCATCATTGAAAGCTATTAGAGATTAGTTCGCCTCATATAGATAGATTAAGGTATATAGATTGAAGCTAGTGACACCCTCGACTTGATTTGACTTTTCAGGCTGGTTATCCTTCAGAGGCAAGTGTCCTTCTGAATTGCAAATAGCAAAACGCAGTTTCACCTACATTTACGTGCTTTATTTCCAACCTGTCAAAGACATTAGATAGAAAGAGTTAGTCTTACATCTTTATCAGTCTATACATCTCTATCTAAAAGACGTTGGTGGTCACACTGTGATGTACCAAGTTTAGAATTGCGCCCGTCGACATTGGCACTTAATCTGTACACCTCTAGGTCTGTGGTGATAGATAATATCGAATGCACAAGAGTATACTTCGACGCTAAGTGTAATTATGTTCATGTAACTCAAATAGAAGCAATTGTATTCAATTTCTATCGAGTATCCTTTAAAGTACTTCTGCTATGCTAAAAGGTCCGTTCAAATCGTGGACACAAAGCTACTTTGATGCACAGTTATGAAAAAATCGACTAGAAGGGTCAGATTAAAGCGATTAAAACGAATTTGCTCGAGGAAACTCAAGAAACGAGAGTAAGAAGGATAAAGGTTGGAGTAAACAGAGAGAATCGTCATGGTTAATAGGCAAACTTTTGTGAATTAACAGGTTAAGCTGTGAAATGATCAGGGCAAGTTCATTTTGATATTTGTCACTTGAAAGTTAGAGTTTCGTTTCACCTCTGTCTTTAATCAAGGTGCTTTTAAATGAAAAACTGAGTTGCCCGCGCATTCAAAATGACTTATTTTGTGTTCGGAGACGTCTGATCTCAAGCCAACGACCTGTAAAGCGATATTTTATCAGATTTCATTAATAGAAATCGTAACGATTTTTTGAGTGATGTCGCTGTCTTAAAATTAAGATTGAATACTCATAACTAAATTCAAGGCATTAACTTTAGACATCGAAATCTCGTTTTCGGATACCGACGCATCCTGTATTCGAAAAAGATCTATAGAGTCCTTTTACGTCTTTTAGTAAGATTCTACGAAGATTTATTCCTCTCAGAGACATTTTCTCTATGTCGCTCAGACATCGATGGTTACAGACGCAAAGAAAGATCTTGAGCAAATGCTATGTAGATGACTGCTTCAAAAGGGCGAAATGACAGGCATGAAAAGTTCTTTCAAACTTCTTGAAACTTATATAAATTGAATTCTTGACTAATGCAAGAATAATTTTATCAAACTAAACTTTCTAAAAAGTCAGCTTAAAAATCAGGATCGTAAGAGAAACTTAAGAATGCATGCATGAGTTACTTAGTGATTGCTTAGACGTTCATTAATGCTATGGAGCAAAATAAATTTAGAACTTTTACTTTCGGCCTAATTTAAGTGGCTGCAACTGATTACTGCCATCTAGTTTTGTTAATATATGTCTCGTGAGGAAATGCAGATAAGGCTTTAACTGATAATTGAATATTGCGCGAAAATTCAGAAACTTAACATACTAATCCTCGGAGTATAAACGTCGGAAGTGTCTAAAGATAAGCAAAAATATTACGTCCATATGGGGATCGAAAGTCACGTGAGACGAATAATGGCGCGTCTGATTGGTTTCTTGTTTTTGACCAAACGTCGCCAGCTGGTAAGTTTATACAAAAGTTCAACATGGTAACCAGTTGCAAGAAATTACCTTGAATGAACTTTTTATCGTTTCAGTTAATCAAGTTGTGACTGGGTTTCAAACGACCCGGTCCATTTGTGCTTTACCTTTTTACACCAATAAATTCAAAGGATGTAAAGGTTTTTATGACATATCATGATTCCTAGTGCACTCAACTTTTCATTTATTCGAAAAAAAACATAGATGACAATTTTACATGACGTAGACAATGCCTCCGGACATCACGACAACTGATGTGATCTTGAGGGGACAATTCAAATATAATTTGCACAAGGCTTCCAAAATATCAGATTTGTCTTTAATGGAATTACGATGGGCTTAGATTTCCGCCAACCAACAAACCAAACAGATCTATGATGAAAGAAGTATTCATAAAATATATATTGGATTCATTTTACGTCAGAAGCGAAGTGAAAAGTCGGCCTTTATCTTCCAAGCTTACATGACGAGCTTCGATCAAAAGATCATTCATGACTTTCTGCATTGTGGTGTATAAGTGAGTTAGGATACAGCATTTCAGTCGGTATTGCCTCGGATTACGTGCTTGTTAGAGAATCGGAAAATAAATATGCGGATCCCCTTGGTAATCTGCCATGATGTGTTTGGGATTAGGCTTAAGAGTTCAGTGTCAAACTGGAGAGAAATACAATCCTCTTTTTTCTTTAATATAAACAATTTGTAGATATCTGTCCCTCGTTCGATTGGCCTATTCTTACTTCGTGGAAGAATAACGTGAATTTAAAACGCCGCCGTCGACTTTGTCTAAGTAAAACGCATTGCTTTTTATATTCTCTCAAGACTATGGTGAGTAGGCTATCCAGCAAAAGTGCTTTAATTATTATGCTTAATGATTTATAGTTTCAAGCTCAAAAACTCAAAAAAGTTTTTAAGTAAAGGAATATAAAAATTTGACCTACTCCAGAACCTCAGAATGACACAGAAAGAGGCAAAATTTTGTCTCCATTCTTTTTTCAGACTATGGGCTAGTGAAAAGCAGAAAGTACTTCTTTTAGGCCCCTATGATATAAGGCCTAAATATTTCTTCGATAAGTACTTTATACTTGGAGGAACATCTTAGCTTGCACTCAATAGCGCTATACGAAAGGAACGAATTTTGAATCTACAACCTAATCAAACGAAGTTTCATTTCCATATGCCCAACGTCTTTCTCTACAACCTAGGATAACTGTTGAATGCAATTGTCTTTAAATCACATATATCAAGCTCTCTTCGATAAGAGATGATATTTCCAAAACGTAATTAGTGAAGTGCATGTGAGCTAAAGTAAAAAGTAATCTTGTTTAAAGATAGTGAACTACTTTTTCTTCATAATGTCATGTTACACCTGGTAGAGACCATTTAATGCTTCAAAAATTCTTGAAAAATCTTCATTGATCTTGTACATGACTGAATAGGTCAATTTCAATTTTTCAGAAGCTGGCAATATCACGTAAGTGTGAAATTTTGAAGCAATTATCTTAAATCTTCAAAGTTTACAGATTGTTTGCTCTATTTATTTAAGCTATACGTTTTTACTTAGAGCATTGCCTTACCACCTGAACTTTTGTTTGCTTTCTACGCATTATGATATTGAAAAAGCTGCAGCTGAAATCACCAAGTTCTCACTTTCAATTACAACTAATGGCATTGATGCAAACTATCTTTCTCAAGAAACAATTTAGTCAAAAGCATCTGCGAATCAGAACAACCAGTCTAAGAGAAGGGCACGACCTGCAAAACTTTCATGATATTTATGTAAACCGAAAGTAAGATTTTCATTGTCAAATATCAATAGAAGACATGACAGACGCCAGCAAATGTGGAAATGTGAACGTGATTCCTGGTATTTCTTTTTTTACTGCTGTTGCCTCCATAATATTAAGCATTTGCACAACTGCACTTAATGGCCTAGTTCTTCGCTCGATCTACATTCTTCGAGAGAAGAAGCTAAAAATATTCTTTTACAAACTTTTGCTTAACATTTCAGTGTCGGACATAATTACTGGCATTTTCACAGACCTGTATTCTGCAATTTTCCATGTGCAAGAAGGCCTATTGGTTACTCCTATCGAAATCCGAGTTATTCACGTGACACTGTATCTTCTTGGTAGTGTACCCTTGGCAACACTTGTTTTGCTTTGCATTGACAGAGTTCTCGCATTACTGATGCCGCTTTCCTATAGGCATGGGCCAGCAGGGAGAACAGCGTGGTTAATTGTGCTTAGCACTTGGGTGATATCAACCGTCCAAATTGCAGCGTACTTTCGCCTCGGCTTTATACCGTATTTGGTAATTTTCGCTGCAATAAACATAGCTGGAGCGAGTTTTGCATTGTTTCTGACGTCATACATCTTCCATAAACGGACGAAACGAGAAAAGCTTCGTAAAAACAATCGTCGCGCAGATGGCAGGCTGACTGTGGAAATCAGTGGCTCTCCGCAAGGGCGTAAAGATGCAGAACCCACAGTGAAAAAGAAAGAGAGGCACACCTCGCCTGAAAAAAGCGCAACGAAGGCATTCCAGATTATGTCCGTGGTTAACGTTGCAACTTATTTGCCTACATGTTTTGCTACAGCATATATGAACGCATGTACTGATTGCAACTGCATGGTTGTACATAGCATGAGAGACATTGCAATAGTCTCCATTTTGTCTGGGTCACTTTTTAGAGCAATCACACTTCTTTCATGCTTAAGACCACTCAGATCAAGCTTCTGTAACCGAAAACCTGCCAGGCAAGATGCCTCTGGATAGAATAGTAAACAACAGTCTAACAATTGACATCGTGATATGAGAGATTTTTGCATAAAAACGGACAAAGATATCCCACACTATATCTTGTAGATAACAATTGGACAACTAGCAGTTAGGGTGATTTACTTTTAAAATTGTTACAGTATTCAACATAGCATTTGCTTTTAAGGTTTACATGCAGGCAAACATGCATTGAAAAAATGCTTCTGCCGAGACTATCCTCGTACCACATTAAAAAAATTATTTACTCGTCTCTTATCGAAAGATGATAGAAGAGGTAAATTCTGATTACTAATCAAGATTTTGTTTCTTGAAAAGACTTCTCAAAGATATTTTATTGCAGTCTGGACTGAAAAGCATTCTCAGTCAAACCATATTTCCACGATAGAAAATGAATTACAACGCCTCTTTGTAGCTGCATAGGAGACATTTTCCAAAAATGAGTTTGCAAAGACAAAAAGAAAGAATATGGTGAAATAGCCGTTAATCGTAACGACTACGGGAATGTAAATTGTAGCTTGTTTTAAAAACGAATTCTGTCATGAAGGCAACCAATTAGAGCATTGAACAGAAATATCATTAGCAAACATTTAACATTTATTAAAATCATGCTTTTATTATAAAATCAATGTTTTTTGTTTAAAGCTCACACCATGAAAAATCAATTAATTGAACAAGATGATCAAAATGTTTTTAGGTCAGAGTCTTAAGAAACAGTACAAAGAAATAAGTCTATTGAAAAGGAAAATAAAGCGATATCTTCAGTAAAAAGTCAGCGTTGCTGTTATCCAATAACTCATTAGCGAATTTATTTGAAGTTAGCTACTATGTACTAGAATACATTTTGTCCAGTTAAAATTTATTTTCATTGAATTGAAAAGTTTTTCATGGTCTCAAACCTTGTTTTGTGTTTTAAGTGTCATTTCATAACTTTTTTGTCAAAATGTTCATAACTTTTACAGGTTCTCGGTTTGGTCTTGTATGATTCTGCATGGTTGAAATCGTATATAAAATCTATAGAAATTATTGCAGGGTTTAACATGTTTATAACAGTGTGATTTTAACACCGCTTCTTAAGTACAGCTATACTTGCAAAACTTTGAAAGAATGGTTGGAAAGATTTTCACCTATGAAATTGTAAGAGAGCAAACAGAGATACTAAATATAAAAATCAGAGATATTAAAAATTGTTCCAGCAAAAATGATTATATTGATATGGCCTTGCCACTAAGAAAGGGTTATCGCGCAAAATGGAAGGGACGTTAGTCAAAGGAAGGTTAAAAAATATCAACTGAAGACAAAAAAAACCAGATTGAGGCGATGATGAAAATATCTGAACCCTTCCAGAATGTATAAAAAATGTATGCTAGAGGTCTGAAATATTAATTTCTAGGATCTGAAGGAGCTTAGAGCTTGTAGGTTGTGAAAACGAACACAGTAGGCTGACTGGTTGAAAAGAGGTAAATATTGAAAATATTAAATAGCAGCAACTATTCAACAGATTCGAGGGCCTAAAAGTCTTGAAAAGCAATCTTGCCGGGAGATCTTTTCCTCTATTTCTACACTACCGACGGTTTCCTCAGCACAGAACGTACGATAAAATAACTTCAGGGACGCACGTGTGTTGACGTTAAACTGACACCATCGAAAGCAAAGACCCTGCCACTCGAGCAGTGATGATCGCAGGAGATCCCTCAGTAATTGAAAGACTAACTGCGACAAAAAGCAATAATCCGGGCTACTTGGAAGAGTTAATCTAGAATCAACAAAGAGAGAGCTTATTAGATTCATCCATGCCTAAAATTAAAAGGCTATAGGTACCTACATAAGATAACGGACAACAGCATGGCTCTTTTGCTAACGCTACTTTGCTTATTGTTAAACAACTGTAATTGCATTCATGTAACATCTTTTCCAAATCTACCCTCACTAGTTGAAATAATTTTCAAGACCGCATCTGTAGAGTGCCACAAGACTGTCGTTCTCTAGTTTTGCCAGGAAGTTCTTGCACCATTCTTGTGACTAATTTAAAACCTTCTTTCTAGTTGTTTTATTCCTGTCGTAAGGGTGTTGACCCCTTTGAAAGAAATATTACAACTACAAAATACAATTCCAAAATTTAACTGCAACTTCTAAAGGATATGATTACATTATTGATTTCAGGCACAAGCAGACATGATCGGGTTAATTCTAGAAAGACTCTTTCTGTAGCTCCTTAAAATTTCTAACTATAAAAAGCAGTTATCGTTCACAAAATTCAAAAAAAAATTATCAGTAATTCCTCGCAGGAAATTGATTACTGTTTGGCAGGAAATATTTAGTGTGAAATCTCCATTGTCATTAATTTTTTGCTGTGACATAAAATTCTATTCTGTAAAAAAATAAAGATAGGCTTTCAAAATACAATCAACATGTATTTTCAGCACTTCATTTTCTGTTGTTTTCTTGTCAAAATTTTCCGGCATTTCTAATCTTTGAATCAATTCACATAAGCTACAACAAACAATTCTTTTTTATATGGTCATTGTAGATAAGGGTAAACCACTCAAAAAAATTACATCGACTTTACATGCCTAAATACCTATGTGGTTGCAGCCATTTTTATTAATGTTTTTCATTGGAATTTCATAAATTTGCCATCGGCAGCTTAGGAGAATGTAAGTGTCTTGGACCTCGATTTTCTTAAATATCACGTAAACTACCTCATTTGATTATGGAAATGACCAGGGAACATAAAACTCATATTCTGCATAGATCGATCTAGGATACATCGATATTTCAATTGTGCCTAGTTTGCTCGTAATCATATGAAATTAAATCAAAGCTCTTAGAGAATGCAGATTTACTAACTGTATTCTTGAAAAAGAAATGTGAGTGTTGTGTTCTGTTCAATGTAAGTTCTCCTTGGTTACCCATTACAGTATAAAAAGATGAAAAATCTTTTGCTTCCAGGAAGACAAATCTTTTTTCAAGCCCTGTCGTTTGCGATACTCAAGCACGTGCTCTTGATAAAGCTTGGTCTTTAAAGAGTGGTTGATGATGTTTTGTGGGCCTTTATTGTAGTCAATCCATCGAATAAATGATACAGCAGATTTTTTTCGTATGGCCGATAATCATCAATCATCTCAGGGGGGATTGCCAATCGAGCACACTTTTCAACTAAACTGTGTTGAATCGTGAAAATCACTGCATGCAGCTGCTGAACGATCATGGTGATTAAAGTTACTTTAAACTCAACCAGCAGCCAAGCAATAAACGCAAATGAATTCGGCTTCGTATCAAACTTTTCCGTTGATTTCAATCGTCTCTTTACATCTGTAGGTCAAGGTCGAGGAAGGAGAACACTTCTACACGCTCCCATAAATTTCAAGAAATTTTGATATAAATCTATTTGCCCTTTGCTCGGGAGTGACATTGCAAAAATAGCCATTAACAGTATTCAACAATTTGAAAAATTTCAATAATTTTCTTCTGGATGTAGCTAATTCTCGTCTTTGCAAGTTCACCACATTCAGAAACTTAATTTTTGTAGAGTAGGACTAAGGACCGCGAAGCATATTACAGCCTGAGGGGGCTAAAAAGTTTTGGGGGGCTAAACATGCTAAAAATCAAGAGCAAGGTAACTTTTTCCATCTTTAAGTACATTTTGGAAATTATTAGGGGGGTTAAAGCCCAAACAGCCCCCCAAACAGCCCTCCGTGGACACCATTTTCTAGCAGAATTCTCAAAAACCCTAAATCGCTGTTTCTCGTTATATGTCACATAGCCCCACGCTCATGTCCTGAGCATCAACTCCTTCGTTGGCCAAGAGAAACTAGGCATTATGTTCATATATTTGTATAAAATTTCATTAAAAGGATATTGTTAGGGAACGGATCTTAGGTAAAAATGTTACCATCAAAAAGAGAGACTGTTGACATTTCATTTGTTACCTGAAGCAAACAATAGGGTAAAAGGAACATTAGGGAATAGACGACGTAGCTCAGGTGTCAAGAATTGGCATTCAGGCTCCCATTTCTCTCTTTCCTGCAGATGTCAGGCCTTTCACTTGCAAGTTAGGCCAGCTTTCACGCCTTCAATAAATTCTCTTCTTCACTAGCTTCACGAAATGTTTTCTCCTCTAGCTTCGTGACATTGGCTTTGAAGTTAATTTTAAGCTCTTTAGCATGCAAATACCAATGGCCTAAACAATGTAGGCGGTACCAATATGCAGAGGTCTATTCTGCAGCTTTAAGACTTTTGAATACTTTTGACAAACTTTTGACCATTTCAGATGAGAAAGTGATTTGACACAGAGAGTTCTCCTTGATCGGATTCAAAGAAGACAGTGCTAAAAAATGAATTTTGCATGCATAATACTGGTGTGAGTATAATAGTAAATGACTGCAATTTCTCAGGTCAAAGATACAGAAATTCGATCGTCATTTGTCCGAATATATCCCATTTGTCTAAGCACATCTATGACTTTGCACACATTCTAATTACATAAAGAGGATAAAGTAGAAGAGCCAATTTCACAATACCAACATGCAAATAGTCTTAATACCGTAACGATTCACACAACTAAACTGCGTTGCCACACAAGATGCACTGACAGCACTAAATTAATCTAGTTCTAGCTTTAATAAACTTAGGATGCAATGGGATTGCCATTTACGCGACCCTGACCCAAGCTGCATCAGGCCAACTAGGACAGGTCTGATGCACATATCATGTTTTTAAGGCGGCATCACTATATATTTAGCAGGTAAGATTTTCCTTGGTTCAAAGGCAACTGAACCCAAGTTAATTTTATGAATTCATGCATAAGTAAGACAAAAGACCTAATTCATCAAAGTAATAACCATTTCATCAAAAACACTGAAAGTTTGTGACTTGCAATAAAAAACCTTGGATAAAAGTCTCAGAAGTGTTAATCCAGCATATGCAATATAAAAATGATTGCATATCTTTTTATGTGTTAATTTATTCAAGCATCAGCATCACTTCTTCCTTGGGCGTCAAATATCATAAAACAAGCTACATTTTGAAGAAAAACGTAAACTGACATCATTGACTTTTCTGTAAGGACTATTATAAGTGATGAAAGTAATCACGTTTAAATGTTAATCATGAACTCGACATCATACAAATATAGCTCAGTAATCAGAAGTTAAAAAAAATGGCAAAAGACGATCAATCGGTTTGGTTTTCGGTAGAACAACCTATTTTGGAGCACATATAAAGGTTGGGTGCAGCAGCGCTTCAAGGAGAGCTTTATTGCTCACTATTGCATGTTTCAAACAAAAAGGAATTCAACATAACCATGCTTGATCAAGCTTTATCAAAAATATAAGCAATGCTTTGAAAACTTAACTTTCCAAGAAAATACAAGAAAGCCTGCAAAATTTTATTTCATCCAAATTTTGAATTTTTGAAAAATACGAAGGTATACAGTAATGTCACGAGAAACCATAAAACTCAAATATCAATTGGAGTAATGAGACAGAAAATGGTAAAGTTTGATCCTTTGAACACAACTGTGACATTCACATTTGGCCGACAACCTAATATCTGTAAATTGACAATTTAGAGCTGACCGGTACCCGAATTCCTCTTGCAGCAGGATCAACAACCCTACTGCTGCTCGAACCTCTCTCTCAAGTACATATGTTTCCAGTGAGAAAACTGAATGTTCTAAATAATGAATGACTTGAGGGCATCTCTGGTATGTCAGATTTGCGTCATAATGTACAACCTTAATATTTTTTTACGTGCCAAAGACTTGCCAACAAACAAAAAGTTAAAACAAGATGAAAAATTTCCTATTCAAGCAGCCACATACATCCTTATTAGACAACCAGTGGAATCGCAACTGCCGTCGCAAAGGTTGCAGGGAAATCGCAACATAATGGCTTCGCGGAAGACGCAAATCATGAAAGAAACCTATGCTCAAAGTTAATACTTAGTCACATACCTCACGAATGTCCATTCATTTATCGCTTGTTTCTTTTGTTAATAAACCGGTTTAATCACTCTAACTAATCATGAAACTATTTTTATACGTGACATAGTTCGGTTTTGAAGGTTCATCTCTGAATGATCTTCTTATCATCTACTCTTTGAATAACTAATTGCAATTATGCTCCTGTCTATTGGGTTAGGCGTTGAAATGGAGGCATTTCCTTGCGATAACGTACAATAAAACGTGTTGCTCAAATACTGGAACCCGACAATGGTACATCATCAAAAACACAAATTTGAAACACAAAAAATAAGTTAAACAGACACTATGAGGTAATAAAAAGCTAATTATTTTTCAATCATCCGGCCGAATCGAGAGCCTGCGAATTATTTCTATCTAAGAACGGAAAAGCAGAAATAGATTGCATTGCTACACTTCCCTGTCTCGTCCCTAAATTAAGATTTGTTAAAATTATCAATGCAAATCATCTTTAATTGGCTTTGCTTTCTGAAACCACACACAAAGAAACTGCATGCTTTTTCTAATAGTTTTCTTCTTGAACACAACCCAAACTCCTGAGGCAATAGATGGTGGTGGTTACAAATACTTAAACATGCACGTTATTTTTATGCAATTGATGTGCCATCAACCTTATCATTTAAAAAATGCAGTCTACACACATTTTTATGAGAATATAGTCAGGGACGGATTTTAGCAGCAAAAATAAGGGAGATGTGCTAGACAATGATTGGATCATGGTGCCACACCCTACAGGTGCCTGGAAAATGAATTCATATTTTTTAAAATCAATTTTTAGCTTTTAGATGAAGAAGGCAGGAAGATAAAAAAGTCAATTTTTTGCATAAGTTTATGATTACTGACTACCGAAAAATTCTTTTGACCGAATCGAAGCAAAATTTTCCTAAGAACACAATTATATTGGGCGTACTGTCACGCCTTCGCACTCCCCCGGTAAATCCGTCCCTTAACGTAGTTTTAAAACACAGTAACTCTAACAAACTAAAAAATTAAGAACAGGAAGGCTTAGGTTCGACAAATACTAAGAGCATTCTATAGCTTGTAGTGATGTAAATATTACTGTAAGTGGATGGAAATGATGTGTAGATGTCGTTCTTTAAAATTTTTAAGAACACGAGGGCTTTATGCCAATAGGAATAGAAAACTTTTTCATATATATAAGAATTCTACATTTTAAAGACGACACAGCCTGCTGACCCCCATACCACCTTACTGCTAATATGAATACTGCAAACTCTATATCAATGTTTGGCGACTATGCAAAGTGTGTGCATTAATATTTATTTTTAACCTTGTGGCCATATTATCGTAGATAATGCTACATTATTATATATGAAATGAGCTCACTTTAGATCCTGAACTATCCGTTTATGTATAACCAATGTTTCACTAAATGTATATAAATTATAAATAGTAGATGAAATTCATATTTAAAAATCGGTACAAATTCAAACAAAGCATCAAGTTTAGATCCGTTTTTACTTTACAAATAGGTTAACTCGTATGATTCAGTTGGAAATTCGAAAATTGGGAAATATGGCATATCCATGTCCTAAACTAGGCATTGCGATTAAATTCTAATTTTATAAAACTATTTCGCTCAATTTTTCAACAAAGAAGTTACATATGTGTTGAAAGTGTGACATTTGGGGTGCTAGACAACCCACCAAGAAAAAGAACTGCAGTGAAGTGTTTGATGAAGTCAATCCCTGATCAAAGACAGCAAAAATTTTGCATGATTTTCGATTATCAATCAGTGCGATTAATCATCTATGGATTAATTTACAATCAAAATTGATAGTTCTCAAATGACATGGCATGTGATCGAAACTGTTGCTTTCTTCTGCAATACAGCACTAAAGAGCAAAGGATTGTTATGTCAAGACTTCAGCTTAAACTTATCAAAAATTTGTTATGTTAAAGAGATCTCCAGTCCATCGGCAAACAACCGCTTCCCTTTCGTATAAGTTCCACCTTTCAGAAATTAACTTTTGTCTCGGGACGGAGTCACCAAATCCAGCAAAGGCTTAGGACAACAGAAGCTTTATTCAAATTGGAATAGGCAGCCATATGGTCAACGTGAAAGCCAATGAAAAATGATTGGAAACCGTTGAACGTTATGGTCTCAATTAAGACCCAAAACAGCGGAAAGCAGTGAACGGTCATCTATTCACCAGGTACTGTACAAAGATGACTTGGGCATGGTGTATTTGTCGAGCACAATTTCAGTATAGCCGGGACACCTTAAATCTGCTAGCTCATGGGCATTGTACGGATGACAAATCAAAGAAAAGAAAAATGGGAAGGCAGAAATTATAATTATAATTACATGCAGATAAAATATTGGAAAGGGAGAACAGTATTTTACACTAGGCATAGAAGGCACGAGCAAATACTCATAGAAGGCACTGGGCGCAAAGTAATTGTACAGGTCATTTGATGTTAGTTTTTACAATAATGAATGTACCCTAATTAAGAAGAACATAAAGCAATTTCAAGGATTACATAAGACAGATAACTTGCTGCAAAAAGAGCATGTGCACTTGTTTTTAAGGAACAAAGTCTTAAAAAAATTCTTGAATTGTCTAGTATTTTGCGCTGTCTTTATTGATTCTGTGAGTGAATTCCAGTCTCATAGCTATTTTCGCGTCTATGTTGTACTTTTTAAGACCAAAGTGTGATTAAATTGCCAGTCGGATAGGTCATATCAAAATTTCAGTTTATACATTAAGTTGCATTCTAATGAAATTTTCAAATTCGATAATTTCAACTACAGATGGAGCAGGCACGAGGCCAGAAGGGGGCTTGGGGACTTAGCCTGGGTACAGTTACTGTTAATGGCTTTAGCCCCCACCTCAGGAATGTTTCTCCTAGCCACAGGCTTTATCTGCTGTTAAAATCCATTCACCTCATATTTGTTTTGCGCGTTGACTCAGCAGCTGCTTAGGTGTTTGTCCCAACAGCTGTTTTAGGGTTTAAGATAGAAGCAAGACAATAAAAGCAATCACAATCAATCTATTTTTTAGAAAAATTGTCGCATAACCCGGCTGAGCAAGGTGTCTTTTTTGATACACATACACTTAGGGTACACAAATATGGAAACCTGTTTATGGAAAGCTATTTTGGCGGGAAATTACCGATGGCGTAGCATTATTTCAAAATGGATATAAGAAAACCCTTTAAGAAGTTTTGCTGAAACCTCAACGGTCATTTTTGTTCAAATTTTCTTGAAAAAGGCGTATTACGATACTTTTCGAATAAACGTAATACGACCAAACTATACTTTTTGCGAGAAGGTGACCATTCGTAAGCAGTATTATCATTTCTACTTGGTTACAGCAAATCTTATGAGCACGAAATTTATAAAAGAATGAAGAAAGTGGCTTTTCTGGGAAGTAAAGACGATCTGACCGTTCAAATGATTGAAAAAAGGAAGAGTGATTAGTATGTAGGATTGCTAGAGAGCTGAGGTACTCTAATTTTGGGCGATATGAGCAAATGTTGCAGACACTTTATTTTTGAAATGATAAAGGAATGAATTGCGACCCAAAAAATAAAAGGTATCGAAATATTCTCTTCATTTCGAATTTCCCCCTAAATAATTTTCTGGTTCCTGAGTTACAATCTTGGACAGAGCTTTTGAAACAAACCCTAAACACAGCAGCATGCGTGTACAGTCCAGCCTCTACCCCATCTCCCCATTAAAAGTTGGGGTGTACGCCCTATAGATAACAGATATATCAACATTGAGCTAGGAGAGGAAGGGGGTGAAAATCTCAACATGCTCTGTCCAAGATTGTAGATCACGTGGGCCATTGAAGCAAGCTATACCGTGGTTCCCATACTTTCTATTACCTTGTCCTATTAGTGCAGTTCTTCTTAATAGATAGGGTTACGTCGCAACTGCGATGAAAATGGCGGTTCATCGGCATAGAAGACCTTTGGCAGTGGTTTGATGCAGTGGAAAGACGCAGAGCGTTTTGCTATGAATGCTGGTGCTGTTATTTCATGACACTCTCTCAGTGGCGGATTTAAGGGGGGCAACTAGAGGCAGTTGCCCTCCCTCGACGAGTTGAAATAAGTCTGGTGCCCCTTTTTTGGAAATTGTGCGCCCCTTTTGAAAAATGAGAGTCAGGGGACAAAGTTTCTGAGACCGTTAGGTTAATTTGCTTTAAGGATTACCTCAAAGATATGTTGTTTATTCTGAAGATGGATCTGAAATTGTTGTATACAGCGTATTCTCGTCGCCAATTTTTGAAAATGACTTCAGCGCTCCCACTACCGACTGCCCCTCCTTTAAATTTGCTCTGGATCCGCCTCTCACTCTCTACAAACACATCAATTGGCCTTACTTGTTGCAGCTGTAGTGAGTAAGGTCAATGAAACACCTAAAAGCTAGTTCAAAAAATTGACATTATATAGAGTGATATACTTTATCGAGAACAATTTTATCAAGTCATAAACTCTG